AGTGTGGAACGCGTCGAGCCCTATCACAGCGAAATGGATCAGCATACATACTTTTTTCCCAAATGTTTTTCCACAGACACTTATACATCGCCTGGCAAAAACTATGTCGAACCTCTTACGCAATCATCATCAACACTGGCGGTTGATATGATGAATAGTGGCCCGAAATCAAATGAACGCGAGCAATCGGTCTCTCTCGACATGCCACCTGGTACGGACGGTAATTTTGAGGAGCTCGAAAAGTTTTTCGATCGTCTCGGCTTGAATGATGAAAAATTCCATGAGATCTATAGTGTACCCAGGCGACGTAAGAGTGCCGATACAGATTCGGAATGTTCTAGTACCGTGTTCTTCTCAGATGTGAGTACTGTGGATTCAATGCGTCTTCCGGATAGCACCGAAACACAACCCCAAACCACACAACCATATCGACCCTCGGAGCCACCATCAATTGTTGAGCGTAATGCTCGCATCATAAAATGGCTATGCAATTGCCGAAAGTTACAATATGTCTAGGGGATTGAGCAAATATCTATTATACCATATACTCGTATGCATTACTAAAATACCAAATTGAGACATTAAAAGGCTACAAGGGATTGTTAGGTGTATAAAAAACAATTGAAATGTACTAGTTTGGCAATACTTGTCCTTTCTGACAATGTGCAATAAAATGAATTAATTAGACCACTTCGTTTTTCTAATATGAATTTGTGAGTAGTTACATTTTTTTGTTGTATTCTGTATTTCTTTTAACTTCGGCACTGCTTAAGGTATTATTCGAGGCAATCTATATATATGTTTTGTATGCTAAGGATCTGCGGTAGAGCAAATTTTCACTTTACGTCTATGTCGTGTAGAGGAATCGTTTAAAATACCAGGCATGCTGGGGTCAATGAGTTCATTGTATAGAGTGACTATGAGTTCCTGTCCACAGTTTCAATTTTGGAAGCAGAGTTTCAGAGTTTTACGTAGAGTTCCTTCAAGTCACTCACATGTCCAAGTACAAGAGTTTCACGTAAATTTTTGCTTAAAAAGGCTGATCCTCTCTTTAGATCGCCGCTTGTGTCCATAAAGTATAATAAAAAAGTTAATGCTATTTGATCGATCAGTTTGTACGGCAGCTCTTTAGTCGGTTTCGAGAAATAAGCAGCAGAAAATAACTTTCAGGTATTCACAGACACACAGAGAGTATATACCAACAGATATATATCAGGTAATGGCTTGCTACGCCGTTGATTTTTGCCATACAGGGTCTCCAAATTTTCCCAAACAAACTTCGTTTAAAATATTATAGTATATACCCTTTTCAGTATTTAAAGTGGACCATGGCAGCCATTGTAACTGTATAAGACTTAGTTGAAGAAACAAATCCTGATAGATATAAAGGAAAAAGTTTCTTAACTAGGTCACCTTTGAATAGATAACAGATTTTCATAAAACGTCCAGCAATTGTAGACCCTAGAGAATTAACCTCTTTTGGACGTCCACTGCATTGACCGTCTTCGGTGCTAATTTCACCACGTTTAAACTTCGCATACTAATCCTTGAAAGTTGATTTTCCTGGGGTAGTGTCTAGAAACTCGTCATCAAGCTAAGTTTTTGCCTCAACTTCTTTTTCTTTACAAAACAATATTTTATCAAACGCGAAGTTCCTTTTTATCAATATTTTTCACAATAACAAAAGTTGTTTCACACAGATTGATATAATTCACAAACTAGTAATCCGACAGCTTTCAAATTTATTATACACACGCCTTTTGAAGGTCAAAGTTAACAATAAATCATACGGATTTAATTCTAGTAGCGCTATTTATGGGTGATGCCAGGGAATTTTCAATTGACCTGTTGTGATGATTGGAATAGATGCCCAAGTACTCACCTTATAAAATCAGAGCCAAGATCTCGTTTCTCTTCTTTATTCTGTTTGGCGCCATTCGGAGATTCCAAATTTAGCCAGGCTCGAGGTCTCTTTTCATTAGGGGTTCTTTTTTTAAGTGGCGGGTTTCAAACCCAGCTCACAACACTGGGGAGGGATGTTTCGCTTTCTCACTTTAGCTCGATTTCAAACGGATTTTTTTTTTGGCTACCTAGAGGATAATTGGTCTAAGAACAGAAGTCTTGAGCAGCCTGAGTCATATGCCCAATAATCATTTCTGACCACATCCAAGTGAATGGCGTGCAGTGAACTTTCCTCACTTGTGTGAACTTATAGTCATGCCACCATTCCCCTCCTGCTCGGTTTATTAAGTATAAATTTACAAAGATTAAGATCTAGCTAAAACATTGCTTAACCCATACAGCGTTGCGTTTCTTATTAAACTAAAAATATGTGCATTTAAGTTTAAAAACTTCAATTTCATTTATTTTTAAAACCATGCTGTTGCTGAATTGAAGTAACTATATAATTTTCTTGGAACGGATTGGAAATTTTACACGCACGAGTGAATCAAATATATATGTACGTAAATAAGTGAACACACATGTGGTATGAAAATGTGAACCCACAAAGAAAGACAGAAAATGGAATAATAAAAGAAATTCTGTAGCGTATTGAACTTTGAAAGGCTTGGGCCGAAATTCGTAGTCTCCTCTCGTTTTTCAATATGGAACCTCCTATTATAGAGTCGTAGATAAACCTTGGGAATGGAACGTAAGCTCAGGTAACAATGTGTCAGTTCACACACATACTTTTCTAAAGCAGTTTGTGACATATGTAGATAACGGTTGGTTTGCTTTTGCATTAAGAAATAGCTACAAGTCACACAGATTCATATAACGTACGAGTATACGAACATATGTATGTACATATTTTTAAGATAGATAAATACCGCATTCGATAGGGGACGAGGCAGAAGTACGTGGAAACGTGTGAAAATATCTTTTGATTTACCTGCTACCGGTCACGTGACAATGGCAAAGGAAATACTTACTTCGATATGGCGGACATGTGTGGTGGTCACAAAGCGTTCACTTGGAAAAAGTCACTTCCGAGAAAATATTATATTTGATTGCAGCAAATTTTAAATTTAATGCAAAAACGATGAATGAGTTTCAGGGGTGTAAAAATTTGTGGAATATTTATAAATAGTTTAACAGAAACACAAGACAAAAATATGTACATACAAATTAGATGAAATTTCAATCTTAAATATTGCAATTTTAATGAAACAAAATATAAAGAAAGTGCCGATGAAACTCATCTAGCTGAGCTGAGAATGTACACGACACACAATGATCGGCGCAACTCGGATTGACGTATGTATATGTATGTATGACTTGGCGCATTTAAAGCCGAGATTTTAAATAAAAAGCGTACAAAATACAGCTTGTCCAAGACTGAAGGCGTTTGACCTTTCCAAGAGACATCGCTTTGCTTTATGGGCTCTTGAAAAGTTCCAAGAAGATCCGATGTTTTCAAGCCAAATTTTATTTAGCGATGAGGTTCATTTCTGGCTCAGTGGGTATGGAAACGCTTACAATAGCCGCATTAGGGACGAAGAGTAATCTGAAGAGATTTAAGTGCTGCCATTTAATCCAGAAAAATCAACGGTTTGGTCTTGTTTGTGGACCATCTGAGACCCGCGGACAACATTTGAAAGAGATAAAGAATGTTCTTTCGAATGATAATAAACATTTCCCCTTTTAATTTGAAGTTTCTGTGTTTTTTTCTTAAAAAGTGGGGAATCTCGAAATGGATCTATCTTTCGATCTAAACTTCATCGAAAGTCTCGAAACGATGAAAAAGCTCCTTCGAATTGAAATTAAACGGCATAAATCCCAGCTGTGAAGTAGTCTCACGGTTCTGCTTGTTGTCCAGAGTGAGCGCAAATGACAGCTGATTGTCGGCTCAGGGTTCTCATGCCTCGGTTCGTTTGAGATGCTTACGGATGGTCTACAGCCATCTCGCGAAGCTTTTATTGGCGATTTGTTAATACGAAATCGTGGATTTTGGTGTTCATTATACTCAATGGTAACCGTTTTTGAGGCCCAGGGCGTGGCTAATCAAAACGTCGTATGTGACCACGTTGAAACTCGTTAAAGCAAGCGCTTTTAACTTTTCTAAAATACGTATACAAAAATATAAAATTCGCAGCAGTCGTCTACGTGAATGAACTTTACGAAAACTGATTTTTCTTCAACAGTGGCTTCATAGGGTCGTGAGGCTAAGTAGTTATCGGACTGTCCTTAAGCACTAAAGAAGTATTTTCAATTAATCCGAGCAAAAATGATGACCTATTTTGTAGATTGAAATTGCAACTCTTGTAATAAGAATAGCAGCTCACAATATTGGAGTACCTACTCCAAGACCTACAATTGCCACTACTAAAAGTTTCCCTCCTCGATATTATATTCAGCAAGTTCTCTCCACATTTTGGTGTAACATTTTCGTTATTTTGCCAAATTAACCGAAAATTCGCAACGGTCTTAATGGTGATAGTCGAATATTGGAAACCACTTCAGCGCCACCTGCCAACCGACGTTGCCATTTTCGTCGCACTGATATGATTATCACTTTTTGATCCTTTCGTAATGGCTGACGCAGTGTAAACTTTAATTAGAGAGCCACCAACGCCGGCAATCAACGACGCACACGCAGTGGGTGTCGCTTCGTGGTATTGCTATACAAATGTATGTATGTATGTGTTGCATATGCAAAGCGAGTTAAAAATGGCATGCCAGCATATGGTCCACTCATAGCGAAACAACTTGCTAGTCTGTATAGCACACATATATTCACGCAAACCTCGAATATTTCGGTTTAATTTTAAAATTTTAACGCCAATGTCGAATTGAAAATGGTTTTATGCCATACACCCAGTGAAGTCATTAAAGCTGAACACACATAACATTTTATATACACAGGCAATTAATATGCAGTTTTATTATTTTCAAAAACATATGCAGATATATATATATATACATATATAGATACATGGATACAGTTTTTTTTTACGGTGTTCCATGTAGTAGAACCTTAAATTAAAATATACGCAATCCGCTGCGAAATTATCCCAAAAGTCCACCGAGTAGACCACCGGGGCCACCAAGTAGACCACCACCGGAACCGCCTAAGATGCCGCCACCGCCGCCGCCAAGCGCTGGCTGTTGGGTTGGTGATTGGCCACCACCTCCACCCAGAAGACCACCCAAGGCATTGCCAATTAGTGGAAGGCCATTCAAATTGAGGAGGCAGCTGCATAATTACGAGTTTTTGGCATTAGATTATGTAAAATGAAATTTTGAATTATGAAAATTTAAGCACTTTTCAAAAATAACTGCTCATCGCTTGCTACTCACCGTAAATCGAGACGTAAAAGGTATTGGCAAGGCCATTGACGGATGCACTGTGAATTATAAGGGAACACTTTAAAGTTTTGATGAAAAATACATTGAGTGTTGCCACATCAAAAAAAAATTCTGAGATCTATATTTTCTCTCAATTGTTTTCTAAAGCTGGTACAATATTTTTAAATTTTTCATGAAATAACTTATGCGGAATATCACTGTGTGATATTAAATAAAAATTCTGATTTTTTTTTTAATTATTAGCAATTTCTCATAAAACGAAATATTCGTCTGATCTTTGTACCGAAATTTCCTTAAATTTATGTTCGGCTAAGTACAGTTTGGGCACAACTATTTGTATATGGTTGAGAGAGATTAGAACTCTCATAGCTATCTGATATTTATAAAATAACGGAAAAAATATTCCTATAATTTCGATGTTAAACTCATAATTCCTTATATTTTGTGAGTTGGTTTCCTTCAATATACTTACCGCCAATAATTCTTCATTGGGCTCGGGACAAGTGCCTCTAGTTGGAGCCTGTCTAGTAGTTGGTGCTAGAGTGGTGGAAGAGGCCTCAGGTTTAATGCCTGGTATTCCCCATGGCAAAGGGGGCTGAGAACAAATAGTATGTTAAGAAATGTTTCAGAAGCTTGTTTATAATACTTACGTTGGCAAAAATTAGCGGCTAGAAAAGTGAGTGGGAAATAGATTTAATATTAATTTTTTCATTAAGATTCAATTCATAAAAATATCCTTTATCATCTTACCATGGCAATTGCCATCAACAGGAAAACGCGCAATACTGTAGAAGCCATCTTCAACTAACTAGTTCTCTGTACCGTTAAGTGGGAATAATTACTTAGCTAGAACAGTTTTGCTTTATATACTTAAATTTTGTGAGATGTTCTTCATTACATACATATATGCACATTTTTTAAGTAATTAATAAATTTCTTATTTATAAATATAATAAGTCAAATGATAAGTGAGTATGTACGTGTGTGAGCCGTCGTGTTATCAGCGGCGCCATAAAAATGCAGCTGTTTTTGAGACTGACCTACAGCAAAGATATATTTTGTAAAGTATTATTCAAACAAAATGAGGCCAATCAGTTCATTTCAAAATTGTCAAAAAATTAAAAAAAAAACAAAAATCAACAACGATAAACCTGGATTTTAGTTAATTCAGGGTTTTTTCTTTGTTTGTAAATCGAGAACATTTTTTTACTACAGCAACTCACTACTTTTAATATAATAAATATTATGCAAATAATATAAAAGGCTAAAAGTAGTGCAAATACAGAATTATAGTGATTCATTTCGAGGTTTCCTCGTTTTTTAAAGAAAAAAACACAAACTTTAAACTTAATGGGAAATATTTATTATCATTCGAATGAACATTCTCTCATTTATTTTTTGAAGATTATCTCTTTCAACTGTTGGCTACGTCTCAGTTGGTACATTCATTGAGTCCAATTTTCGATGACTCCGTCGAGCATTTCGACGGTAACTGGCGAATGGCACGCGTGATGTTTTTCTTCAAGGCCTGAATCGAAGTGGGGGATTGTCCTTTAGACTTTACAATAGACCAGTCCAAAATATGAAATTATCTGCTCACCAAATAGTCGGTTATTATTGACTATTGCGTTCTAGCCGGCATTATTTTTGAAAAAATATGGATCGATGATTCCACCGTCCCACAAACCTCATCAAACCGTTATTTGTTCTGGATAAAATGACAGCTCTTAAAACTGTTCATGTTGTTCATCACTGAACAAAATTTGCTTCGAAAACGTCGGATCTTCTTGGAACTTTTCAAGTGCCCATACACCGAATCGATGTCGCTTGGGAAGGTCGATCGGCGTCAGTTCTTGCACAATCAGTATTCGTATGCTTTCAATTTATGATCTCGACGTAACATACACCAAGTATTACACACGTAAATCCGAGTTGCTGCGAACGGCGCCAAATCGACTCTCCACCGTTTTCGTGGACACTCTCAGCTATGGCTGCTATATTTTTTTCACTGCGTGCAGAACTTAGTCTATTCGATCGAATATTGAATATTCAGCGAAACGCCCCATATTTTTTTACAGAATTAGTTGTTTCATATAGTCTAATAAACGTAAAACGACTAATTTTTGTAATAAAAATTTGTGATTTTATGAATTTACTATGAATTATGACAAGTTGCGTGTGCCCCAACTTTGAATTTTATTAATAAAGTTGAACGGTTTGTAAACGTTGTTTAGGCGGAAGTCTTTCCATGATGAAATGCCAAAAAATACTGAACAAAAATAACAGTTTGACATGGGTAGTCGAATTTTTATATCTTGTGCATACGCGTTTTCATAAGACAACTGGGGATAGTGCAAATTGTTTGAGTATATTTTAAATTATAAAGACTTTTCAATGAATTTCTTCAAACAAATTAAAGAATCTCAAAACCTAATGCACCAAATATACGACATAATTTTTTTCTTGTTGACCATCGACCTTTGAAAAGATTTGAGTAAAATAAATGGAAATCTACAACCAAATGCAGGAAAAGTATACACAGTCTTACAGCTACCGGTGGCATTGGACATTTGGATAACATGCGTTAAAAATGGCTTGTCATAGCTGCAAACTCGAAAGGAGCTTTAGTTTTTTCTTTTGTATGTGACTGCCCAGCTCTATCACAAATCGGAAATCGAATTTTTGAAATTCATCAGATAAGCAAACAGCATAATGGAAATTAGTAGTTTCATTGAGGGCACCAAATGGCTTAAATATCAATCTAATGATTCCGGAGCAAGCTTTATGATTCCGGAGCAACATTTTCATGAATCTATAGAACCGTGGTTAAATCGTAAATCTTGTCCACCTACTACATCGAAAGTATTCGAAGTATGACCGATATCTAGTCACAAATTCTTTCGGTTCGTTCTGACAAAGCTCAAATACCAGTACGGTGAAACTATTCATCTTGTAATGCCATCCAAGAATCAGGCCATTTTTTGAGTGGAATTCCTCCTGAGTCAGCCATCGAACGAAACACATAATAATCGGAGGGTGCAATATCTGGGAAATATAGCGTGTGGGCTCCGACTTCCCATTTAAGGTAGGTTTTAACAGGTTTGGCAACATGACTTATATGGTGTCTCTCCTGGTATTGAGGTCATAAATAACCCAAGTTCGTTCCCAGCGCATTTAGTTGTTCTTGAATGGCTTGGTGCTTGGTGCTGAAGCAAGCCCTTCTTGCGTTTGCGACGAACCATCCTTGAAGCCACGAAACCAACAACACAGCATGTTGTTTCACTTGAGCAACAGCTCAGTAAACTTTTTGGAGTTCCCGATGCGCTTCAGCACTCGATTGTTTTGACTGTAAGAAGAAAATCAACTTCTCGCAAATGACGATTATTTGGCCAAAAATCAGTTTTAAGCACAATCAAAAGTATATTAGTATGTTGCTTCTGGGCGATTACCACCATCAAATGGTCAAATAGTTGACAGTTCGGCCTTAGCAATCCTATCAAAGACTTAGTAAAAGCTGCCTGACTATCAATTTTGGCTTGGCCGCCGATTACGCTGGCTACTACCGTTTTCAAATGACGTTGTCTTAAAAAAACTTTTTACCAACAGTAACCATTCGCTTCAGGAACATGGTTGTTCGCCTAATATCAGTTCACAACCTACTTGCAACATATTCGAGCTGGATGTGAATGATAGTTTCAGAGAAATAGGCTTGATACCCACTGGAACACCTTCTGGCCAGTATTATCTAGAACTCGTCTTATCGCAGTTCAAGCGACTAGATAAAGTATCAAAATTAGATATCAAGTCCATATAGCATTATTTAGGACCTGTAGATCTATGTATGGCGTGACAAATGACCAGCATGACCTAAGCTAATTCAATCTATAGTGAAGCGTATACAACGCGGGATACAGAATACTAAAGCCAGCTATTGGAAAATAATCAGTTGCTTTGTACTATACCTAAAATACTTGTTAATACTTACGGAAGATCATATTTTACCCATTTTCATTACTAAGCCTAAAAATATGCAGCAATTACCAGCAAACTCACTATATACTTACAGAATAGATGCTAATAAAGTCATTTGGTTCCGTACAAAGGTCATCAATATACTATAGTCGAAGTAATCAAATGTGGTCAAGCTGAACTAAAGGTGTTTGAAGAAGAGAATAGGAGTTAAAGGTGTATTGTCACGACGGCTCTCCTCAAAGACAATAGTCTATTAATACGCTCTAACTGATTTTGCCATTGTCTTACAAAAAAAAAATGTTTACCGTACCCTTTTTCCCCCCAAATAAAATTTAAACTTAATTACACGCTTGGATAGGTGTGAATGAGAGAATGAAGGGCATGAATTGCTTTTTCACGATAATGCTCACGCTGCAGAGAGCTTTTGTGCGTGTTTTTAATATCTCGGCCGGTAAAACAAAAACATGCCCAATCCACTTTTATCTCGTTTTCCTATTTTTTCATTAATTTCTCCTTTGTATTTTGTCACTTTTGGCAAAATTACTTTTGTCTGTTATTTGTTTTGCTTGCGACGGGGGTAAAAGTGAGTGAGCGTATGGAAGAGCTAAAGTGTTTTATTAGTAGCGCAGCATTCCAAAATCGGTGAAAACAAAACTTTGGAAACTTCGCAATTTAATCAATTAAAAAAGTTGAAAACAAATTTACGCCTTATATTGCCAGACTTTAAGTTTTCCCCACACTACACACACATACACTTACATAGTTAACCGTATTTGCTCACAATGCCAGCTCACCACTTCAAAAGGTTTATTTTGGTCCAGTCTTCGTTCACTAAAAAAATGTTTGCATCCATGTTTGTGTGTGTGTAGGGAACGCTTGAAATTAAACACTTGGCGAGTGCCGCCATTGCACATAACTGAAGCTTTTCAATTTGTTGCATCAATCGTGAAAATTTATTATTTTGGCCGGCTGTAGACTTTTAGCCTTACCTGTTGGAATGCAAAGTTTGGCGTCTTAAATGGACTTTTGTGTGTTTGTGCAGCATTGTATTTTGTAGCATTGTTTGTTGGGATCTAAATAGAAAAACTGAAATAGTTCAAAAACAAAAAGGAGATTTGTCTATTTCTTTTACAGTTATGTTTGAAATTTTGGTTTCTAAATATGTTACTGAGCGGCTTTAAGTCTTTATTAGGGCTAGCGAAGCCGTAGAAAACTTGATTGTGCTGATTTTTAAGTTTTTTAGGATAAAAAAATGTGCTTGAAAATCGTGTTGAGTGAGAAAGGGTTGTTAACAACTCTTCTAGAAAATTTTGAACTGGCTTTCTTGATTTTTTGAGTTCGAAGAACTTCGCAATCCGGCTCTTATCAGAAGAATTGCATTTTTCGAAAAAGAACTTCGAGTAAAATTTGCAAAAAAAACGACAGAAGTACCTTAGAATAAGTTAATCACCTCAAATGGTTTCTTGTATTAACCAAAATATTCGAATTTTAATCTTCTAAAGGAATCATTATTAATTATATGTTTACTCAAGATCAAATATAATCAATACTTGCTAACCGAATTAATAAAAACTTTTTCCTTGGTTTTCTTATATGAAGCCGCGGTCATAAATACTTCCTTCCTTGAGAGATCGCTTTGAAATGTTCTCCAAAAATCTAAAAAAGTCTTTTATATAGTTAGTACTATGAATATCGATAATGTTATCCTTAAGACCCGCAATTTCGAAAACCAATCTGGGATATGAATAAAATGTTCCACAGACCATCGTTCGACGACCCTCTACCTTTATCTGTGGGCTTGTCTACTATTACACAAGTCACCTGTTATTTATAAGATTACATTATTTTGAAG